AGCATTTTGTACAGATGCACTAATGTCAGAGTTTGTAAAAACCTGTGCATGAGGCAGTTCCAGCGTTCTGTAAAATAGTGGGAGAAATCAATGCTCTCCATCTGCCATTGAGTAAACGCAAGTTTTTGTGCCAGGAATATATCCTTAATGATTCCTAGAGGTTTATGAAAAATAAAACAAAATACAGCACGACTGGACCTTTTTCAAGGTTCAACTTGAATTCTCTGTGGTAGTGGCAACTGTTACATACGGCCTCCCAATCAGCACAACCAAACACAAAACCACTCGGTAAAGAAGTATATTCTGCAAAAAATATGTAGAACTTAAACTGGAGATGGTTAATTGAAAGCGTTATAAGTTTCCTCAATCTTAGCTTAGAAGCCAGCCTTTTTACAGATTTTCTTATCAAAAACCCAGCTACCGTAGGTTTTATTAGCTTTTTTCACCAACATACTGGTGATTTTTGTCACCAACATAATTGGTGTTGAAAAATAATGCTATCCAGTGTTTTAGTATGCAAACGCCTCTGCTGATTTTTTTTTAAAAAAAAAGACAAAGTCATGAAAGTTTCCATGATCTTTTTAGCATAAATAACATAGCTTTTTTTCACAGAAAGCTGGAACAATTTAGAATGTAAGGACAACTGGTTCGGTATTGCTAAAAGGCAGTTGCCACAGTAGAGAATAAATTATTTTCATCATCTCTTGCACAAAAGACATTCCCAGACGTTCACAGAGTAGGGCTGCAATCAAAAGCCATTGCAGTGCTTCTTCAGCAAGGAAGAATATGAAAAAGACTATAGGAGCTATTTCAAAAAATATAACCATTTGTTCGAATTTTTTCTGCATGTTTGGCTAGATTGTAATTAAACTCTCTGAGTAGCTGGAAGATGGATTAAATATTTATTTCTAGTTGTTTGCAAAACACTTTTTGTGTATAATTTCTATTGGTGATTTATTGCTGTTCCTTCATGACTTAATTAGCAGGCAAACTATGTATGGTGGGAAAAAAAAAAGATTTGGTCGGATAAGGGTTAGGGTCTCTAAAATTTCTTTCGCGCCTAGCTTGTACTGTTTTCAAAACATACATATTTCTCATCCTAAACAAGTAAATTGTGCTTTAGGGTTTTTTTTTGTTTAGTTTTGATGAAAAGCTGCTAAAGCTAGTTAACGTTAAAACTAGATATCGCAATTGAGGAAAAATCTGGTTCATTATTATGCTCACAAAAGAGTTAATGCAATCATAAACCATTGCAAATTTTCCTCAGTAAGGATATGGGGAAAAAAAGTTCTTAAATCTATATGCAAACATTAGCATGACAATATTTATAATACAAATTTCCAGTGTGTACCGGCACATGGACATATTTTTTGACTATAATTTAATATTTGGGGATTCGCAAGGAAAGTTGGAGGGTTTGGAAAAAAATCTGAATGGTTATTTTAAATTCTCCAGTTGCCATTGATTTCTGGTCGGTATTTGTTGCCATTCTTTTGCAACTACTGTCGGGCCAGCTGTGCTTTGGAACTGTAGTGGCATGACGGATTCATTTATGCTTTTAATTTCAGCAAGGGCCTTCAAGGCTAGTTTATTATCAAACTCAAGTCAAGACTGCTGCCAGTGCTTTCTCCGGTTTTAGGTTGCGCTCTTAGTTATCTGTGAGGCACCCTTATACCCTTGATTTGCCACTTAAGCTGTCCTTTTGGGGAAGGGGGGTGGGGGCAAATTATTTAGCAGCTAAGACTTTAATGCAACCTCTTCAGGCAGTAATATAAAGTCTGCATGAGTGCAAAGCCTTAACAAGCATCTGCAGATGTAATTGCATAGTTCAGAAGCGATGATGATTGCAGATGATGACAAGCATACAGTAAAGCCACCCAGTCAGTTGCCCTGAAATCAGTTTGGCCATTCTTAAAGATTATATCTGTATGCCAAAGAAGCATTTTGTACAATATTGTTAACGCTGCTTTTACTACTGGCTTGGGGAATTGCATGTCTAAGAGTGGGGTAAAAAAAAAAAAAAAAAACGACGTCTCGCCTTTAGTGCCGATATGGACCCAAAAATGTCAACTTAGCATTTAGAGCAAGCCCAGCCGCTCTTACAACCCCATTGATGGTGTTAAAAGCTGACCAAAAGCTATCAAACTGACACTGCCTGACAGAGCAGCAGTGCATCAACCTCTTTACAACACTGTAAAATCAGTTACATTTGTCTATCTGCAACTTACAATATAATGCCAATTTTTATTTCTCTTTCTTGCTTTTATTCATGGCTTTGTTTTAAAAGCCTTTTTTCTTCTGCTTAGTCGTGAACTTTAGTCCAGTGAAGAGGATTCAAACAAAGATGCAGTGCTTCTCTGAGGCACAGCTCTAAAAGAAGTTAATTTATGGCCTGTTTGGGAGGCAGGTTTTGGCTTGAATACTTAACAAGGAGGTGCACCTGCAGCCGCATACAAATTAATGGAAATGACGGTTAGTATTTACGCCTCCCTAAACCTCAGGGACCTCCTGATCTGACCACTAATTTTCCAGCAAAGAGAAATAAAGATAACTTTTGTGTTTTTTCTAACTGCAGATTTCAGGTGCATGGCATTTGTTTTTTTTGTCTTCAAGATTTTCTTTTGTCCTTTTTCTTTGTGATATTTAATTTTTCTGTCACTGAGATGTGTTGGTCTAATATTAACCGCATCTCTTTTGAGCAGAGGCAGATTTGGAGACTTAAAATGACTTCAAGCTATTTTTCTACTGCACTTTTCATTCTGATTTAATATCCATGCATAGGCATTTTTCAGCATTTCATCAAGAAAGTTTCGAGTTGGGCACCAACTAATCCACCCCGGGGACTCAAGGATTATTGACAGTTTAGTTTTCCATCCTTTCTTTATCATTGGAAACTTTCATAAGAAGTCCAAACTGTGAAAAAAAGCAACCTTAAATGCCTTGCAGAAAAGATGATCACAGTATCACACAGGTTTCTCCCACAGTCCAAAAACATTATTTTGTCTTTCTAAATTCTCCCGAGGTGTCTGTGTGTGCGCGATTGTTTGTTTCTATGTTGCCCTGCCACAGACTGGTGACCTGTCCAGGGAGTACCCTGCCTCTCACCTGAAATGTCTCGCTGGAGGTAGGCACCAGTACCTGTCCCAACCCAACTAGGGACTACGGTGTACAGAAAAGAGATGGATGGATCCACTGACCAATTTTGAAAAGAGCAATAAACATTACATTTAGTCAAATGCCATAATCAAAATGATAAAGGAAATGTACAGAAAACAATCAATGGTCCAGTTATCATATTAAGTTGCCTTTGATTATATCTGGGGTGTAAATGCCACTTCATTCTAAGAAATAAAAGGAACAAAAGAGAAACGATAAAGAAAATATGGAACAACAAAAGGCGAGGAAGACCGTTAGTTTTGGGAGCCACCAGGATAATTTATCAGCTGTTTGGCAGCAGATTCTTGGCTATTCAGGAGCTTCACACTTTGCATTGAAAACCAGACGGTGTGCTGAGACAAAAAGTTACGGAAGCCTGAAACACATGGCTGAGACAAGCAAGACAAAAATTGACTCTTGCAGAGTTTCATTAAAAGAGGTAACTGGGCAGACATGCAAAAAACACATATTGCATTTGAGTTCAACTGCAGTATAAACAAGATGATCAGATCTGGTTCTGAATGGGTTTGGATATGGCTTCATGTTTTGCTGAAGTTTCTTGACACTTAAGCTCTGTCTGTCTCTTCAAACAAAGCAGATCCTCCATCCCTGGAGGAACTGAATCATCACTGTTTCAGTTCCAATAAGAAGTTGATTTTGCTGAACTTAGAATTGATGGTAGAAAAACGGGCAGACAAGGACTGTTGTATTATCAGATTTATGCCGTTCTTTTTGGGGTTTTTTAAGCAAAACAGTACAATAGTTTGGAAGGTCAAAGGAAGATAAACTGTTGTAAGGAACCTTACTAAATTACGTGGAATGAACAATTTGCTGACCAGTTGAAGTAGGCATGAAGACAGTGTCTCCGTAAGAGCAAGTTCTACATTCAGAGTTGTGTTACCGCATACCGTCAGTAAGATTTTAGTACTTCATTATGCAAGTGCCAAGTTATCGTGATAAAAATTGGTGTTAATCTCGCATGCGTTTTCTTTTTGGTTGTTTGGTACTGTAGCAAGAGCATATTCTTTTGGCATTAAGCTCCTTGGATCTCCAAAATGCATTGCAGCAATTTAGTCTCTGCTTGTTCTCTTGTCTTAAACCAAATGGATTTTCCTTATCAATTCTATAGGATTTGGTTTAAGCATGTGGGATAGGATCTCCCAGGGCTGCCTGCCTTAGCTAGCAGCCTCCTAAAGATTCTGTTGTCGTCACCTTCAGAGGGACGGTGCAATTCAGATGTGTTCACCTACGATTGCACTTCACTGCAGGCTGGTATAGCGTTGGCAGATCTATGCTTCCAGTAGCGTACATAAGCCTTTTCTGCCAGGCCTTTGTTGCCTCTGAAGTGAAGATGACTGAACTGATGCTGTGTCCCGGTGGAGTAAACGTGTTTAAATGACAACACATTTTTGTCTCACCTTGAACCTAATTGACTCCCTTAAAACTGGGGTTTGGAAAGTGCTGACACAATCCGCTGCAAAAGTTGGCTTGTTTCTGGCTCTGCATTGAGCTGTATTTAGACTTTGTATCACATTCACATTCTTATGAGCATATTTCTTGATGAAGTATTTTTCAAAAAGGCTTTTGCTGTTTAAATATTTCATTCTAGTCTGATGAACTGGCAGCCTATTCATATAAAAAATTGCCACTAAATAAATTGATTTACACTTTTCAAGTTGAAAAAAAATCTGTTAATATATATATGTCAAAATCACTTAACATGCCTGCAGTTAATGCTTTTTCCAACCATTTTGTGCTTATATGATGGCATTTAATATTTGCTATAAGATTTCGCAAAGCTGAATAATACAGATTAAAATGTTATTGTTCTCTCATCTCTTTAGCTGATTCTACAAGATTGGGGTCTGGAACCAAGAACCAAGATGACCATGTAAGGCTAATTTTTTTGTGAGGAAATGAATTCTGTTTTGTTTTGTCATATTTTTGCATGGTCATCTGCCGTAAAGACCAAATAACACATCCGTTTAAAACTTCTGCTACTGCCCAATATATGTTTAATTTAAATGTCCTGGTATTAATGTTAAGCAAATTTTAATTGCGTGTTAAGACCTACAGAGAGAACAAAGGCTTCATCTAATCTGAACACAGTTCTAGTTTTTGGCCTTGTTGATGTTTTGTAATCACTAAATGGTTTTGCTCATGATAGACTGATAGGTAAGGCTCCATGTTATGTTATAACCTCAGGGAAACAGAAAATCATGGAAACAAATGGTAATTTGGCTCCCACTTAGAGCTTACAAGTCTGGCACTGACTTGTATTTCACTTTTTGTCCTGTGTGTCTCTGTGTTGCTCTGTGATTGACTAGCAACCAGTCGAGGGTGAACTCCACCAGTGATTGCTAAGTTGGGCACCAACCCCACAGGGATAAGTGGGTAAAGACAATGGATGGAAGGACTTCTTCCACTGTGAGCTATATAAAGATTTCCCATTTAGGTATTGCTTGTTACCAAACTACATGACAAACAGGTTGATGACCCAAGTCCCCATGAGGGTCTCTGTCACTCATGACAGCTTGAGAACTGGGTAGTAGTTACGCTGTCACTTGAAATGACCACATACTCTTCCCCCGCTTTCCGTCCTACTGCCATTCTCCACGGTCACCCTTTTACAGAAATCTGGCTTGTGACGCTGAGCCGCGGTGTTGCAGCGGTGGTGACTGTGGGGATTTTTTTCGATGGGAGCTGTAAAACTGTAATCAGTCATTATGTCAGAGACGAGCCCGTGAGCTCCGCTCCAGCTCATTCAGCCAAATAATAAGCAGCAGATAACAGCACTAGCATGCAGGCTGCAACGGAGCCCCCCGGGTGAGCGAGAAACCAAGGGGTGATGAGGGTGGTGGTGGGGGGCGGCTTTATTTTTCATCTCGTGTGCCTACTCAGGGATGCTTGGTAGGGGCTAGATTGTCTTATGTGATGAATTTACAGACACAGTTTTCAGGACTTTTGTGCATGGAGTGCAAAATCTATTTAAATGAGAGTAGATGTGGAAGAGAGGCTCAGGGGTGTTAATTAGGTGCTGGTTTTATGTTTTATTAAGTATTTGTAAGACGTGTCTTCTGACGTCGGACAAAATTCCACGATTAGATCCATAAAGGTAAAAAAGGATGCATCTGCCACTTTAGCATTTGGCAACTTGAAGAACTGCAGAACTGGTATAACTAAGCCATGTTTTCCCACACAATGTCCACAGATTTTCTTTTGGTACAAAACTTTCCTGCTGGACAACACCACACAGCACGAGGTTGCTGTCTGTACTTCACAATTGGAAAGATTTCTCAGCTTGCACACTTCTTCTTTTTTGCTCCCAATATAGCAATGGTCACTGTGGGAAACTACTTTAAATGTAGTTTCATATGTGCACTGAGCATGCGAGTTAACATCTTTGTCTTCAAGTGCATTAGCAAACACAAACCTCAGAAAATTAGTAGAGAGCTTGAGTGCATGCATTATTGTAAACTATTGTAAACTACTTTTTGTGTACTTTTGGAGTAATAGCTGCTTCTTATCCTAGCGGCCTTTCAGTCCATGGGGGTGCAGGACTATGAAAAATGACAACCTCTTACAAGCTTCAGCCATCATCTTCACAGATGGCTGGACTTTTTTTAATTGTTAGAACAGATGATTTGACACCTTAAGGCAGTGGTTTCCAAAGTGTGGGGTGCGCCCCCTTGGGTAGTGGGCGGTGCAGTGCCATTGCAGGGGGCACGGGAAACGGTATTGGTCAATGAAAAAAAAAAAGTTACACAAAAGTGTTTCACTGTAAAGACGGTTTGCAGTGTGTTTTGTTGCAACCTAAAGTGTGAAACAAACTTCAGTGGAGTTTGAAAACAAAATATGTGTATAGGTTCATGTCTGGTTGAACGATGTGTGTGCCCACTTGATTTAAAAAAAAATAAATCTTTTTTTTTTTTGATTTTATTGTAATCCATAAGGGGACCCAGAAAATCTTTGGGTATCACTGCCTTAAGGCGTCTCGAAATGGCATCCAAGGATGAACCAGTCGTGTTGAGGTCCATAAAAATGTATGCCAATTAAATAGTCTGAATTAAGCAATTAAAGGTTTATAAAACCATTGACATCATTACATGCCAATGGTTTACAAAAAAAGGTTGTGATGTGTGTCAAAAAGTCTTAATTATAAAAATGTCCTATCTGTTATTATTTGGATATTTTTGGTAACTCTTACCGATCTCAAATTGCTCAAGTTAAGTCTCTTACACTTAACATCAGACAGTTAGGTGGAAAAGGTTTTGTGACTTTTTAATCAGCGTATACAGCTAGGATTGCATGAGATGAAAAAAAACATGCAATTCTGGAGAATGTTGACATAGTGATATGACTTGCAATAAATAAATAAATAAAATATGTTAATGTCTTTCTGCTTTGGGTTGAGAGCAAACACAAACCTCAGAAAATTAGTAGAGAGCTTGAGTGCATGCATTATGTGGTGCACAGTGACATTGACGTTGATAAAGTTGTGATGTATTGTGCAGCCCTACGTGTTACTATTGGGCACTAATAATGATAAAGTTCATATCTGATTCAGTCTATTACATAGCTTAAACTAAGGAGCTATTTAACAGATTTTAAATGTGTCTGGATAGAATTTGATGAACTCTAGCAAAAGTGAAAAATATAAAATTTATCAAATCTGATCTACGTAATTATGCACTGAACAGAGACTTTTTAAAACACAACCTTTGTCTTGACCTGTACTCTGTTGGCAAACCTTTAAAAATTAAGCATAAAACCCCTAAATGTATAGATGAGTCAAACCTGGACTTAATTATCCCACATTCATTCCAGATTATTTATATCCAGAGTAATGAAAGATTCTTCATCCTACCTAACATATTGCCAAAATCCTATCTCATTCTTTTTGCGTTACTACTTTTCGTCATCTCTTATGATATGGGTGTGTCATTTCAGCTTTAGTGATGTATTTATAAAAGAAACAGACCCTCTGATTTTTTTCTTAGCTCTGTGCCTTCCCCAACCTCCCTCACAAGAGGTTTGTCATTCCATAACAAGGGTCAGAGCCTCCTATTGTCTCTCCTCGGCATTCCTCAGCATGGTGGTATTGACTGACTCTGCTGGGTGAGTGGTGCCATACAACGTCCATACATCATCTGGAAGACAGAGTGACAGACAGTGGGAGCTGAGATGTCAGATCTCTCTCTTCAGGCTACTGACATCCACTCCCTTCCTGTTCCCCACAGTGACACTCCATCTTCTGACTGTGACTGCATTGATATTTGGGGCCTGCCCACTCCCAGACCCCACCAACAGGAGCAGCAACAAATGACACCGTCGTGATATAAATTACCCCATGGAGGACGACACGGGCATAACTTTGCTTCCAGTTAATGCTTTTGGAACAAACATCCATAGAGATATAAATGGTATTTAATCATTTACAGACTTATTATAATTGGTTCACTCCTCTATGCATGCAGAGATTGATAGCTAGATTAATCTCATCAAAATGTTAAGCTTTTATAATCTTCTCATGGACCCCTTTTAACCCTCTCATACATAATAAATGCAGCTAAAAAGTCAGGTTCACACAGAGCAAATAGCTCAACAGCATAGCATGCTTGTTGTAGTCGAAACAACAAGCAGTCTAGTGCAGCATGACACTAGACTATGAGCTCATGCAGGTCAGCGTAGGTCGACACTTTATGGAATTCCTGCCCATAATGATTTATAAGGTTGGTGTAGTCACTGCCTTGCAACATATCAGTGGAATGCAGGAGTGAGGCTTTTGTCTGTAATCCAGTTTTATTACACCTGGAGTTTCGTCTTGTCTTCACTCTGGTGTTCCACTTTCCTGGCTCCGAGCGTGTGACAGCGGAGTCCTGTTGTCACCCGTGAACTCTGTGACGCACTTTGCCTCTGTTTTCTTATTTATGCTTTTTGGTTGTTCCTGAGTCTCCCCTCTAAGCCTGTGCTGCTTTAAAACACAGCTGGGGGAGTCCCTTACACTCGCAGCGGAGCAGAAATAATGGGTTCAGCAGCTCGGATGCAGCCGTGACTCACAGGTAATTTGCTAATTTCTGTCTTCTCAGCTGGTGTTAGTGGTTGTTGGATGGCACAGCTTTCAGGTGTGTAAAAGTGATTTGCACCCTTCATCTCGCTGGGTTAGGACACACAGGGGCGTCTTAATGAATTGGAATAACTAAAAAATTTTTTCTTTCAGAGATTTAATCCTGTAAGTACAAATAAAGTTATATAGTTTCAGCACACAGAGTGATACATTTCAAATATTTATTTCTGCTGGTGAGGATGGTTACTTTACAACATGCGCTCTATAAATCGGGGCTGCCTCCAAACACAATGGCTCGGTGATCATCAGCCACAGTGTAGAGGTTAGGGAGAAAGAGGCTGGTGACGAAACCCAGTTTGCTTTATTAGCAGCTTTCTGTTTATTTGCATTGTCAGTATTTATCTTCCTTTTTCACAATGCTACATGGATCCTCTTTCGCATTTTGTACAGACTAGTTCATTGGCCAATGCAGCACATATCTTGGTCATTAAATCAGGGATTGAAACTTCTGGTACTGTGGCTATGGGCCAAGTAAAGCTGAAAAATGAAATCGGTAAATCTAGAAAGGTTGTTAGTAGAAGAAAATGTTCTCCAATATTTACTGGTTGTCTATTGTGCTGACTTTGGAATTCATAAAAATTTTATCTTGTGCCCCTTGTTTCAGAAACCTATCAGGGTTTCGGTTGCCTGACTTGCTTCTTCACCTTTTTTTCCTTCCACTAAACTTTTGGTTGCTTCTCATTTGTTACAAAGACCTTTTGTGGTTTTTCCTACTAGGCCTCTGTCTGCTGGACAGCTGTCAATTTACAAGTCTTATCCATAAT